ATAGAACCTATTGCATTATATGGCAGTGAAGTGTGGGGTCCTCTCCTAAACCCCGAATTCGAAAAATGGGGCAAAAATCCGACTGAAGCCCTGCATGCTGAGTTCTGTAAGAGTCTCCTCAGAATACAGAGGAACACACCGAACAACGCATGCAGGGCAGAATTAGGCCAATACCCTCTACTAATGCGCATTGAGAAACGAGCCATCAAATTTAGCAAACATCTAAAAATGAGTGACCCCAACTCTTACCATTTTAAAACCCTTAAAAACCATGAAGTGAACCCTGAAAAAAGTCCCCTGATTCAGATGGTCCTGAAGCTGCAAAAACAAACTAACATGACTAACAACATCCAGCATCAGGACTCTGGAATATTCATCCACAAAATTCGGCCCAACCAAATTATAATAGCACAAAAAGAAAATTATCTAACTTCTTGGACTGAAACAACAGAAAAACAAAGTAAACTTGAATGTTATGTGGCCCTAAATAGAGATTACACAACTGCAGATTATCTGAGTACAGTGAAAGACTGTAAATTAAGACAAATGACGAGGTACAGACTGAGCAATCGTACTCTGAATATAGAGACGGGCAGATATCGACAGCACTGGCTGCCCAAAGAGAGCCGCATCTGCCCTTACTGTACCCACAGAGCAACACTTCCTCACCAGCTGCCCCAACTATCAACACATTAGAAAGACATTTTATCCCAAATTTGAAATACTGTGCCATGGCTTCAAAACATTAAACAAGAAAACACAACTTCAATATTTATTAGGTGAAAAACAAGATTGTATCTTACTAGCAGCACGATACATTGATGCCTGTCACAAAAAGAGGGAGGAGTCAACAAATCAGTGATGCGCCACACACACACACACCACACACACACACACACACACACCACACACACCACTGAATTTTAAATTGTTCATAGAATAGTAAATGTTGATTTGGTCTATTTTAATTATATATACATGCATGTATTTTTTATTATTTATTTATTTATTGTTATTATTATTTTATTTATATATATATATTTTTTAATACATATCTGTTTTAGATTCAATGTAAACACTATGCTTTGGCAATACATTGTAACAATTGTCATGCCAATAAAGCACATATTGAATTGAATTGAATTGAGAGAGAGAGAGATCGATTGAATAATTCATTCAAATAAATGTTATACACACACACACACACACACACAAAGCAATCTAAATGGGGACATTACATAGACTTCTATTGTTTTTATATACAGATAGTTATACACTTTTTAAAACCTAAACCACCCCTACCCCTCACAGAAAACTTTCTGCATTTTTACAATTTCAAAAAAACTTTGTTTACTTTATTTTTATATATTTTTACAAATGAGGACGTCCCCAAATGGAGGTTTTTGGTGATGGTTAAGTAGGTACACACACACACACACACACAGGGTGGCAAAAGCTATGAAGAAACCTGCTCTGCCTATAACAGCTTTTCATTTAATTCATACATGCAAGTGATTTTAAACCAAGCTCTCTAAATACACTTGAAATAAGAACTGAATGAAAAGAGAAATTCTCTTTAGACATAGTGGTAATGTAATAATTTGCTAAGGCAAGCAACACTGTCACTGCTCATTCTTACTGTCAGTGATCTGATCAAATCCACACCCTCATGCTTAGAGAGCAGAACATCACAGACATTGGTGTGGACTCCCTAAAACACCCTAGCAACCACCTACTGTAGCAAAGCAATGGCATAGCAACCAGCCAGAATACCCTAGCAACTGCATTTCAGATCACCTTAGCAACCACCCTGGCCTTGTGGCAGAGGTTAATTCTCTTCGGAAACTGTAAAAATCTGGTTTTGATGTTGTAATTCACAACATTTTTACGCTTTCTCTTCTCTGTCTTCCTTTGAGGATGAAGGCTGATAGAGGAATTAGAGTATATTAAGTGTGTGTGACGTCGCATTACGCCTGTCTCTGAGATCCGGCCTGCTAGACTGATATTTCTGTTCATACAGGCAGAATAAAAGGGAAAGAGGGAATGTTTGAGGCAACTGTGTCCATGAAAATGTGTGAATATTGATTGTGAATATTTCTATTAACCCTATAAAGCCTACTGTATCATAGTTGATACAAACATTTCTAAGGCCTCTACATATTCAACTTGATCAAAACTTTGATCAAAAATTTTTATAAAGTAAACTTATGAATAACTTATTTAGTTTATATTGTAATATTTCAAGAATGGCACTTACTGGACTGAAGCGGCTTAGGTTTACTTGATTAACCACACATCATTTTTTAGAAAAATCATATTACAATGTATCAAATATGATCCATCAGGCTTTTGAGGAACGTTTATTTGTTCATCTCTCCATGATCAATGCATTTCACTGCATTATATGTTTTACTGTCACATTAAAACTACAGAGCTTTGATCATAAAACCAAGGACTTAAATATCATCTTAAAGACATATGTGACCCTAGAGCACAAAAGCAGTCTTAAGTCGCTGGGGTATATTTGTAGCAATAGCCAAAAATACATTGTATGGGTCAAAATTATAGATTTTTCTTTTATGCCAAAAATCATTAGGATATCAAGTAAAGATCATGTTCCATGAAGATATTTTGTAATCTTGTTCCTACCGTAAATATATCAAAACTTAATTTTTGATTAGTAATATGCATTGCTAAGAACTTCATTTGGACAACTTTAAAGGCGATTTTCTCAATATTTAAATTTTTTTGCACTCTCAGATTCCAGATTTTCAAATAGTTGTATCTCGACCAAATATTGTCCTAAGTAATATGCATTGCTAAGAACTTCATTTGGACAACTTTAAAGGCGATTTTCTCAATATTTAAATTTTTTTGCACTCTCAGATTCCAGATTTTCAAATAGTTGTATCTCGGCCAAATATTTTCCTCCTATCCTAACAAACCATACATCAATGGAAAGCTTATTTATTCATCTTTCAGATAATGTACACATCTCAATTTCAAAAAATTTACCCTTATGACTGGTTTTGTGGTCCAGGGTCACATATTATTGTGAGATATAAAGTGACAACTGATATTTATATGCATTTTATGTAAGTTGTCTGCTATACTTATACTATTATTAAGATCTTAATGATTTACATTACAAGCTATCAGACTGTCATCTTACTTTTTGGCCATATAAACAATAACATCTGCACCAAATTGCACATTTTTACTCCGTTTGGGTCTCTGAATAAAACTGAGGTGCTTTTTCTCCTAAAGTATGAGCTCCATATTCTGTTATATAAAGCCTGATGTTTCTTTAAGATTTTGTCTAAAGGTTTAATAAACTGTTCCATTTATTTAAAAAAATATATTATGCAGAGACATTTACAAGTCAGTCATTCGTAGCTGGATTTCCGGTGCAGACAAATCGAGTGTGTTTGGGGTGAAGCTATCTTTGACTATCCAATAGAATTATTTTTACAATTTCATTTGGTGGCTCTAATGTGGCAGAAATGACACACTTCAAGCTTTAAGTTATATGTATAAATAAATATGTTTTTTTTAAGGTTTGTGTAAAAACCCTCTTTGACTGTTCTCTATGCAAGATTTTTTTCACATTATTGTCAGTTTTCATTGACTGTATTGATTCTGCATTTTGGGAAATCATTACCTCATACAGCGGCGCACAGATTCCATCAATCCACTCCAGCTGTAGACCTGGCAGCTCATCTTTGCGGTTTCGGTCAAATATCGCCTATTACACACACACACACACACACACACACACACACACATACAAACTAATAAATATTTATTAAACACAAATCAGTTTGGGAGTGTCCCTATCTATAGAAAATGAAAAGAAACCTTTATTATTTCAGTTGTTTCTCAGACAGCAGTGAGATTAAATGAGCAAATGCAGACCTTTGTGAAAAAGAAGTGCACTTTAGCATGCTTTTAAAGAGAGAACTTACAGAAAAAAATATACTTTTAAAAAATATATTTAAAATGAATACTTTTTATTAAATAGTTTTTGACCCACTTAAGTAGGACTTAAGTACATCTTTATATGTAATTTCATTATGCATGACAAATGATTATTAATACTTCATTATTTAAAATGTACTTTGAAGTAAAACTTTTAATTTGACATAACAAAGTGCACTTAAGTGTTAAGAAACAATCGTGAATGTGAACACTTAAGTGGCATTTTATTTAATTATCTGCAATCAGTGAAATACCCACTGAAATAATTTAACTGAAATATCCACTATACTCTTACTGTAGCTCAACAAGCGTCTCATTTGTATCTATTTTTATTTCTGTTCAAAAAACAACTGAGATAAAGTTGATACTTCAAAGAAACATAAATGAATTACCATTAAATATCCAGAGATATAAAAGCGCAACCTCTGAGCAATAACATTTTATTGTGGTAAACAGAGACACAGACACAGCTTTTCATGTGTTTTTCTTTATATTGTTCACCATCTCCACCTACAGATGTGATTAGATGGTCATAGATGGTTGTTTGATTAATGTTTGCCTTCAAGACAATTAATTTAATGCACTTGTCTGTTGTAGCTGATAATGCCTGTGCTCTTTTCACAATGTGTGTGTGTGTGTGCGCGTGTGTGTGTGTGTGTGTGTGTGTGTGTGTGTGTGTGTGTGTGTGTGCGTGTGTGTGGCAGCGCGGGCTGCAGCACAGAGATAGAGGGTCCGTGTTTGAATATATCATGCTAACACCCACACACTGTGAGCAAAAGACTTTTAACCTGAGGCGAGCGTCTCTGCAGAGAGCTTCAAAGCTGTGGCATCCCGAGACTTCCTAATGTTACCTTCTGCCTCAGAATCCAGGGCAATGGGAAATATACTGGGAAAAGAGCTAGCTATTTCCCTTTTAAAAGTGGATGAGTGTGTAGCAGTTTGTGTGTGTGTGTGCAAACTTTCATGCAATATTAAGATAACTGGATCATACTGTAACAAACAATTTGTAAAGTTCTATCATGATCTGCCGTGACCATGTAAACACGCTGTACACTTTTGTCTAAATTTAGGCATTCTAATAAAAATTCATTCCTTCTATAAAGAGGCAGTTGATTTGAAAGTGTTAACCTCACCGAGGGAGTCAGTTTCAGTTCTGATCGCTCTCTGTCTCCCTGCTCGAAAAACTCACTAGTCACCAGCTCTGCAACCTGTGAGAAAGCAGAAGACACACGTTAACACACTAGTGTCAGCAGCGTTAAGTATTATTCATGTACTATTGTAGTATTTAATATTTTTAATTAGCTTTTATTTTTGTATTTTTAGTTTTCATTTTAATTTTTATTTCCGTTTTAGTAATTTTATATGATATTGTATATATATATATTTTTTTAGATTTATATTATTTCATTTCCGTTTTAGTTTTTAGTTATTTTAGTATTTGAACTTGAACTTATTTCAGGTAGTTGCCAAGGAAACATGTCTAATTTTCTAAATTTTACGTCCAATATTTTATTTTATTTCAGCTTTATTTTGAATACGGAAAAAACAAGTGTCAGTGATATTAATTTCCATACTCACAGAAATGTGGTGTATTGTGGGTAAGGGCATCTACCTTGCGTGATATCTCCCAGGGTTTCGTGACAGCACCCAGATCACACGCTGTCATCAACATCGACCTGAGAGAAGTTCAGAAATGAATTCGAATCAGAAACGTAAAGGTATTGTGTGTGTGTTTGTGCAGGCATGTTCATATACATGACTGACCTGCACATGTCTCTGTGTTCCTTCACATTCCAGTTGTATTCCCCTTTATTCACCAGCTCAAAAAAGGAGTTTCTGTTCCTGTGAATGAAAATTCCATGAGCAGTGTGCAGTTCACAGAGCAGCCACATGGCTGCAGTACAGGGTCAGGAAAACTTATCACCTGCTACAAACATCACCAAATCACTGCTGCAATGTGAAGCAGGGACACATTCACACACTTGCACAAAATCAACAACAACAACAACAACAAACAACCCTGCAGAGATTGCCACAAGTGTTTTTAGGCATTTATTAAAGATACACTACTGTTTAGAAGTTTGGTGTCTAAAGAATTCTCTTTTGCTCACCAAGGCTGAATTTATCTGATCAAAAAAACAGTAAAAGCAGTGATATTGTGAAATATGCATATATTTAAATGTATTGTACAATGTAATTTATTGCTGTGATCAAAGCTGAATTTTCAGCATCATTACTCCAGTCTTCAGTGTCACATGATCCTTCAGAAATCATTCTAATATGCTGACTGCTCAAGAAAGATGATTTATTATACATTTATTACAAAACGTATTATTACCAATGCTGAAAACAGTGCTGATTAATATTTAAGATTTGGCGCATTCATAGTGAATTGATTTGATGCGACTGAGACCGAGATGTGTGTTATTTCAGTACTTACTGGAAGTAGAGTGTTAGGTCTGTGGCCAGTATGGATTGTTTTAGGAGCTGCATGAGTTCTCCATACTCATGGGAAGACAGGTTAGAGAAAATATTGTGTCCCTAGAGAGACAAGGAAAATGGAAATTATTAAACAAGAATATTTTCATTCCTTTTGGTGTCATTAAATATTGTTCTTCACTGCAAAGAGTCCATTTAAAGGTGTTTGCGAACATATATCTGTACTTTTCTGAAATGCTCTAGTCCTACGTCAGGATACATTTCCATATAAAGTGGGTTTGTGTATGAATATACCATTATTTAACATGTAACTCTGAATTCAAGCCACCCACGCATGCTTATATCAGAGCGCCTGATTAAAATAAACTGATATTTAAACACGCAAAAAAAAAAAGTCTGTGTGAAGTCTGAACAGTGAGAGTCCTCATGCTGCCTTAAGAAAAGCAATGACAAACACACACATACACACAAAGCCTTACATTTATTGAGTGGCATGTTTGACATATATATATTAAATATACACTACTGTGCAAAAGTCTTAGGCCATTAGTATTTTTACAAACAAAAACAATGGCTTTAAGCCAGTTAATTTGATATATTTTGCTGTAGTGTGTCAGTAGGAAATATCAGTTTACATTTCCAAACATTCCTTTTGCCATTAATTGTAATAATCCAGTGAGATTTTTGTCTGACAGCAGCCAGTGCTCCACACAGAGATCTGATCTCAGCATCATTCAGTCTGTCTGAGATTACATGAAGAAACAGAACAAACTGAGACAGACTAAATCCAGAAGAACTGTGGCAACGTCTCCAAGATGCTTCAAGAGACCTCCCTGCAAATCTACAGCACTGTGAAAAGTTTTAGGCACTTGTGTAAAAATGCTGTAAAATGAGGATGCTGTCACAAATAATGCCATAAATAAACAATTTTTATCAATTAACTGGCTTAAAACTAGTGCTGGGCGGTATGACCAAAAATTTATATCATGGCATTTTTCTAAATTATACCGGTTTCACGGTACATGACGGTATTTTTTTTTCATGCATGACTGGGTGTTAACCATATTTTCTACTGATTGAGAGAGGAAATACTGCAGTATATTGACTTAGAATGCCCTATTTCGGTATTCGGTATGAACCGGTATACCGCCCAGCACTACTTAAAACCATTTTTTTGTTGTTGGTGAGAGTACTAATGGCCTACCACTTTTGCACAGTACTGTATATTAAAGTATTTTAATATTTTCACTTTAGTTGAATTATTTTCAGCAAAGGTGTTGTCATTTAGATGTTCTCATTCAAACTGATTTTACTCCGGTAAACTTCTGTTTTTCAGTAAATGCGAAGCATGGTGGGAAATAGGATAGGCTATATCTGCCCCTACCAGATTAAAGAGCAGGGCAACTGTTCCCATTTCATTAAGGACCAACTTAATTAATACTTGTCTGTCTGCTGGTCAGTGACACGCTCGTTCTCTGAGTAAATGATGACCGAAACTCATTTGTATGCAAATTACAGTGACTCAGATAAACACGCTGCATCTGTAGAAAGCAATTATTCACAGTCAACATCTGTCAGTTACCACAGAGTGTAATTTATTCACCTCTCTCTCTCTCTTTTTTCTCCCTTGTTATCTCATTTACTGTGCTTAAAAGGATTTCTTGTATGGCACTGGTTTAGTGTAGCTGATTATATGAAGTGAAAGTCTGAAAGTCTTCGCAATACAAGCATTCAGTCACTACCTATTTTAAGTCTTTATTTTTGATGTCTATGATGTAGTCACTTCATTACGTTTTTTATTGTAGTTTAAATTCTAAATAGGAATGGATTACAAATGGCACATTTACTCCAGTTGAATTTCTTGTAAACTGCATTCTACGGTTTGTGTTGTTGAATGAAAACGACTGTAAAGTAAGTCTATTTGTATAATTAAGTTGACTTGAGTTGTTTACAATAATAATATTTTTTTGCAAACCAAGAATAAATTGGTTGCCTACTTTATTATTTTAAACTGATTTGTATTACGGCTTAAGTTCAAGAATGTTATAGATTGTAAGCTTTGCGCAGTATTGTAGATGGAGTTCTACAATAGAATTGATGGTAAATTGTTGTATGGCTCAGTTTCTAAATTATAACTCATTGTAAACTGTTGGCATCAAGTTCTACAATGATATTTCTTGTAAATTGTTAGCAAACTCTTACAGTAAACTAATTTGTATAATAGTTTAAGTTCTACTTAAGTTTTTTAATATTTGTAGTAACTTTGTACTGTAGTTCAAATAATTCATTGTTAACTGTTTGAAAACGAAATTACGCCCATCTTTTCTTCTCAATTGTGGCGTATATTGAGAAAAACGGCTTCTTGAATGAGAAAAAATATGCTGGACGTGACTCAATTTTGTCCATACTATTAAATATGTATGTATGTGCCCGGATAATCATTTATTATACACACTGCGACATTCCACAAAAATTCTGAACTTTGGATTTCATGGTGACTGTGAGTTCACCTCGCTCTGCAGGATCATAACAGCATGGTTGAAGTGATGGTGCTCTAGTGTGGCGGATGTCCCGTAAAGAAGAGAGAGAGCTGATCCCGTCCTGAGAAAGACACAAATGTCATTCTGTTCACGTGCAAAGTGAAGAAATCCAGCATTCAGCCTCACATAATGAAGAGGCCAGACTTGTATTAGACCAGTGGTTGAGTAGCAGTGACTGAGTCTCACTTGGCCTGGAAAGCATTGTTGGTTCCTCTGTGGTCCAGATCATGGCAGATGCAGCCCACTATCAGAGCCAGCATCTCCATCTCAGTCAGAGTCTCCTGAAAGCCGGCCGTCTGCAAATAAACACACATAAACAAACCGTCACACTTCTGTGGCAAATGTACTAAGCCAGAGGCTGAGGAACACACACTCCACAGCTTTAATGCTGATAATAATATTAAAGGGGTCATATGATGCGATTTCAATTTTTCCTTTCTCTTTGGAAACGCTTGGGGAATTCAGCCAATCACAACGCACTGGATAGCTGGCCAATCAGAGCACACCTCGCTTTTTCAGACCGATGAGCTTTGTAAAAATCTACGCGTTTCAGAAAGGCGGGGCATAGAGGAGAAACAATAATGTACAGTATGTGGAAAATAATGTTTTTTTTTAACCTTAAACCGCATAAACACATTTCATTACACCAAATACACAAAATAATGTTCTTTTTAGCAACGTCATATGACCCCTTTAATAGCATCAGGGCGATTTTTTCAGTATTTTTTAAAGAAGTCTCTAATGCTCATTAAGGCTGCATTTATTTGATCAAAAATACAGTAAAAACAGTAATATTGTGAAATATGATTACATTTTAAAATACGGAGTGTCTATTTACACTAAGTGCAAATAGCCTGCCTTGTTGGCAGAGGCTATTTACACTAACTCCGCCCACCAACATGTGATTCGGCTAGTCAACATTACAAAAGACAGAAGACAGTCGGCAGCTCCAGTGGTGCAAATGGTAAAACGTGTGTCGTATTCATTTTGACGTGATGGACACGGGTTCGAGTCCGCCTTTTGCCAAACTTTTTTCTCCCTTTTCAAATTTCAAATCAAATCACAACAAGCATTTCTTTTCAATGAAAATGAAGGAAATAATCAAAAAGTTGAAAATAAAGTATCGGGTAGGTGTAGGGAGGGCTTTATTGTCCCAATAAGGTGGCATCCATTTAATAATTTGAATTAAAATTTACACTTAATAAGTTATTATTGCATTCTGTTTTTTAATGTACTACAATACTGAGGTGCAGATAATTGCCATTATTTGCAATAAGTAGTATAAATAGCAGAAAATCCTGTTATTTTAACATAGTGTAAATAGAATCAACAGCAGTTCAGCATTACTCCAGTCTTCAGCGTCACATGATCCTTCAGAAATCATTCTAATGCTATGTTTACACTGCAAGTGTAAGCTTAGATTTTTTAATGTGTCTTTTATGAATGTGGCCAATATTAGATTCCAGTGTGAACTGATCAAGGTCCTGAACTGACCCGTATGCGCCAAAGAACGATAATAAAACAGCATAAAGCTCTCTGTCATACTGAAGTAAACACGGATGCCACTGAAGTAAGCATTATTCGGGACAAAGATGAGGAGAAAGACAGCAAAGTTTTTAAATTATGACGACTGTCGATCTAGAGTGACGTGAAAGTCGCATGAATCCCGATATGACCGTTCAGACTGAGGTTGCACTGCAAAACATCTGAGCTGAATCGGATTTAGTACATACAGTATATGTGGCCCAAATCAGAATCGAAAAGATCAGATTCCATGTAGTTCACAATGTCATGAAAAAAAATAATTACATACATTTGGGACACATTTGTGAGCATCGCCTAATATGATTCTTGCTGCTCAAGAAACATTACTATTATCATCAATGTTGAAAACAGTTATGCTGCTTCATATTTTTGTGAAAACCATGATATATTTTCAGGATACTGAATAGAAAAGCTTAAAACAACAGCTTTATTTGAAACCGAAATCTTTTGTAACATTATAAATGTCTTTACTGTCACTATTGATCAATGTAATGCATCCTTGCTGAATAAAAGTATTAATTTCTTTCAAATAAACACACACACAGAGTAAGTCACTCACTGTCAGCATGGAAAACATGCACTGGCAAACGTTGAATGCATGTCTCCAGTTATGATACAGAACCATGCGATAGTTCTTCCTCACGGTCAACAGCCACCGACAAAGTGTCTAGAAAGAGAAAGAAGAGTTGTGGTGTTACAATACAGCCAGAAAAGCTACAGTAGTTTCTGTCTTCTAATTTGATTGGTCAAGAGTGCTGAAAAACAGAACATAACATACTGGGATGTTTGGCTCTTTGGAACTATTATCGCTGTCGTAAATACATATATAAGAAATAACTGGCCAAATTTGGTCACTCGATATCAACTTTTTTTTTTTAAATTTTACTTTTACAAATGAATACAGGCTTACAGTCAGCCTTGCTGATATTCAGTACAACAGCACTCTTACTTGTGTGATATTGCTGAGTTAAGAAATAAATGCGTGTGAACCTCATAGTCTATTTTGAATTTCTGCACCATTCCCAGCTCCATAAACATCCGCAGAGCTGCAGTGACCATGGCATCCACATCCAGAGAGAAGTCATCAAACGATAGTTTATCAATGCCCAGTTCACACACCAGAGGGATGTTTGCTGCCTGAGGAAAAGAACAATAGAGAGAGAGAGAGAGTGAGAAAGAGAGAGAGAGAGAGAGAGAGAGAGAGAGAGAGAGAGAGAGAGAGAGAGAGAGAGAGAGAGAGTGTGTGTGTGTGTGTGGAGCAAAAGAGAGAGAGAGAGTAAATGTGAAACACTTCAGGGCTCAAATGCCAAGAATGAATCATGAGCAAGATTTTATAACATACGAACACTCATTACCATTCAACAATTAACCTGCAGTGCACTCTTAAAAAACAAAGGTTCTTTATTGGCATCAGTGGTTCAGATTCAGTTTAGATTTTTAAAATGTTCTTCAAAATGGTCCCTTTTGGAAGAGAAAGAGAGAGAGAAAGAGAGAGAGAGAGAGAGAATGTGTGTGTGTGTGTGTAGCAAAAAAGAGAGAGAGAGACGCAGGAGGCAGAAAGGACAGAGTTTGCTCTTGAGTGCTTTAAAACAGATGCTCTGTGAATGGAACGATTCTAGTGTCAGGATTTTCAGTAATTTGTGTGTTAATGCTGACTGAAGCTCAGAGTCGTGCTAATGAGACACTACAAATAGATTCACACACACATTCACAGATCTTATGAGGGACTGCTGGCATGAGGAGCTGTGTGTTATGCTGTGACGTCAACAATTGCTAATTGTAGATATTTATTAATATAATTATTTATACCCGGTACTCATAAAGTAGAAGAAGAAGAAACGAAAATATGCTGGCGTTTTCACCATCCAGCATGACATATTACACTGCAGTGGATGCTTTTACCCCACTTATTACAGAGACTATCCAACTGAAACAATGTATTGCTCAATCCAAGAATGAAAATTATGTTGTCACTTACTCTCCAAACCCACAGTTTTTTATTTCCATCAAATACAAAATGAAATGTTTAGCAGAAGGTCCAAGCTGCTCTCTTTCATACAACAAAAATGGACTGTGATTCATACAGCCAAGCTTCAAAAAGGACAATAAAGCACCATAAAAAAAGAAACAGATATGAAACAGATCTATTACACACACATACACACATTATTTAGTATCTATTAATATGGCATTTATTTTAATATTTTGAAATAGTTGTTTTTATATTTTCAGTTTTCTTTTTAATTTTAGTTTCAGTACTTTTGTCATTTTTATTAGCTTTTGTCTATTTACCTTTTATTCATTTTTATTTAAGTTTTAGTAACTTTAGTACTTCGATGCTAAATGCCAGAGCAACATTTCTAATTTTCATTTTTAAAGATTAAGTTTTTCATTTTTTATTTGTTTTATTTTATTTTAGCTTCAATTACCATTTTCAATAGTTTTAGTTATCCACAATTAGAAAAGGTTGTAGTGCCAAACACTCCAGTAGGCAAATAACGTAGGGTGCGTAGATCCAAAATATACAAAAATATGGAGATGAAAGAGATCCCCACTCGTCCAAATTCAGCCAAAAAGGCTTATTACATTTATTGCTCAGAGGTCACAAAAATATGTACAAAAAAGTGCAAAGGTGCAGAACGTTTTCGGGTATTAACCCTTCCTCAGTGCCATGTGCTACCAAGCAACATCTGCGCTCATTAAAACATGTATTACCGTAATATATCTAATGTCACGAAGATACAGAAAAACATGTATACATCTAAAAAAAAAAAACATAATAAAATACAACAAAAACATTTGTAAATCATCAAAAATCATCAAAAGTAATCCATATATAACTACATAAACAAAATATACATACACGCATATATCAATAATATAATCTCATAACTCCAATACAAGTTTTAAACATCAGTTTCTATATATAATAAATCATACTAAAATACTCGTTCGGGTTTCTCCAGTATATCCTTAAATTATTATAAAAAAAACAAAACAATTCAACGATAAATCTTCATTCATACCAAAAGGGTGTAAACTTTTAAGATCAAAAATCCACCTATATAGTCCTTCTGCAAAAGTCTACGTTCTAAATTCCCCTTCTCTGCGGTTCTGTGCCAACTTTTCAATAACTACAAAGCTTAAAGGGTTAGTTCACCCAAAAATGAAAATTCTGTCATTAATTACTCACCCTTGTGTTGCTCGAAACCCGTAAGACCTTCGCTCATCTTCGTAACATAATTTAAGATATTTCTGATGAAATCTGAGGGCTCTCTGACCCTCCCATAGACAGCAAGGTAACTACCACGTTCAAAGCGCATCTACAAGTGACGCAGTAGAGACGAAAATGTGGAATAAAGTCGATATTTTTGTTTTCTTTGCGCAAAAAAGTATTCTCGTAGCTTCGTAACTTTACAGCTGAACCACTGATGTCACACGGACTACTTTGTCGATCATCTTGGTACTTTTCTGGACCTTGAACGTGGTAGTTACCTTGCTGTCTATGGGAGGGTCAGAGAGCCCTCAGATTTAATCAAAAATATCTTAAATTGTGTTCCGAAGATGAGCGAAGGTCTTACGGGTTTCGAACAACACGAGGGTGAGTAATTAATGACAGAATTTTCATTTTTGGGTGAACTAACCCTTTAAGTCTAAAACTGAATGGGACATCTCGATAAAATGACGAGCCACGGGAGATATTGAATCTTTCCTTCTAATAGCACTCATGTGCTCAATAATCCGAGTCCTAATTTGTCTATTTGTCTTACCCACATATTGTTTTATACACGGACAAGATAACAAATATATCACACTAGTGTAAGCACATGTGACCAGTTGTTTAATCTTATATGTGCTATCAGTTATACAACTTTGAAACGAAAAACATTTTTTGCGTACATTGTTACATGCCGCGCATTTAAGACAAGATAAAAGCCAACATCCTTACTTACTTATCCTTTATAATGACAGTGACAGACCGAGAGAGCTATGGAAGCTTATATATTTTGTGGCACATATATATATACAGTGGGTACGGAAAGTATTCAGACCCCCTTAAATTTTTCACTCTTTGTTATATTGCAGCCATTTGCTAAAATCATTTAAGTTAATTTTTTTTCCTCATTAATGTACACACAAAGCAATGGGTTCTTCATTCACTTGTGGAAACATGCTGGTACTTGTCAATGAAATGCTATAAGAGCTCCTGGCAAAATCCAGTTAACACGTTAAAAAATGAGCATTTCACCAGAAAATGAACCCATGATAAATGAGGCTTTTCATTAACAAGACTCCACAGAGACTATATCAATAATGCACAAACACTGATGAGATATTGAATAGTTTTGTTCTGAATTATACATGCTGCATAAACAATACAGTCTGATATACTGAGGTCAATATATCATGAATCTGGTTATTTCATTTTTTATAAGCTTCTGTTGTACCAAACAGCGCTAAATGTCAGATAGCTCAATAAAATATAGACTATTGGGCATGATTCAATAACGCATTATTGTTTACCTTAAACTTATCCACCTCAGTCTTTGAGCAAGTGGCATGATATGACAGCACCTATGGAAAACACACACATAAAATTAATTATTAAAGGTATATTTTATGTTTATAATATGGACGTTACATGAATAACATCATAGAGATAATAGAGAGCCAAACAAACTAGCTGAATATGCTTTTAAATAGACCAAAACCCTGACACTACAAGAAGTCAGTGCTGCATCCCTCTGATTGGCTGATGGGAGTCATGTGAGCGCAGTGTGTTAGAAAAGGATGGTGGTGTCCATTCATGACATACTGACTGTCTGATTCTGAAACCGATCTGCACTACAGGTCATGCAACATACATTTCAGCTCCGCTAAAGTCTGTTGATGATCTGTTACATATTAATATACTGACAATCTGGAACCCCTATACATACTGTCAGATTAATCACAGAAAACAGTCCTGCATGCCTCTAGTTTGAGAAGAGCTTCAAAAACTCAATTAATGCTCACACTCACTCCTGCACACACTGTAATGTAGTTATGCAGCTAATAAACGGAGCATACTCACTTTCGCTGTTTCATTTTTTTCTCTCTCACATTCATTGCTTATTGATGTCAAGATGTTTCTATATTTTTTAAAGTATGTTAAAGGGATAGTTCACCCAAAAATGAAAATTGCTCAATGGTTTACTCACCCTCAAGCCATCCTAGGTGTATATGACTTTCTTCTTTCAGACGAATACAATCGGAGTTATATTGAAAAATGTACTGGCTTTTCCAAGCTTTATAATGACAGTGAATGGGTGTTGAGATTTTGAAGCCCAATAAAGTGCATCCATCCATCATAAAAAGTGCTCCACACGGCTCCGGTGGGTTAATAAAGGCCTCCTGAAGTGAATTAAAGTGATGCGTTTGTGTAAGAAAAATATCCATATTTAAAACCTTATAAACAGTAATCTCTAGCTTCCTCTAAATGTTTTACACGCGTTCACTAGAGAGTGGCGTTCCAACGGATGACGTAGGACGTAGGACGTAGGCGTAGTGTAAGCCAGGACATTTTTTAATGTAACTCTGATTGTATTCGTCTGAAAGAAGAAAGTCATATACACCTAGGATAGCTTGAGGGTGAGCAAATCATGGGGTAATTTTCATTTTTTAGGTGAACTATCCCTTTAATGCATGAAAAAAACAGCACTTTCTGACCTTAACTGATCAGAGTGTTAATTTTTTTAAGTTGAATTTAAAAATTAACATGATTGTCAGAATTTCCTGATATATGGTTTGTCTCATGCTTTAAGCCTATAAAGCCTACTGTCTTGTGTAAACATTCAATAAACTGTTTTCATTTTAAAAATAAGACTATTATTTCATATGTCAGGCTTTACAGGGTTAATAACATCAGCACTCAAGCTGCACAAACAAAACCCGATGATCATGTTCTCCTGCTGAGATGATCCGAGATGTTCCAAAGAACATCATGTGCTGTGACATTCTGAACAAAGAAATTGTAAATTTCTTGTTTGCTAAGTGACATGAAAAAGTGAATATTAAATATGTTGTGTTCAATTTACATCACAACTTTTATATCCTCAAATTTCCTGTTTATTTCCAGCTATAAATAAAACTAATCTTAGATGTTCAATGTGGTCTCCACTGTGGACACAAGTGGGAACTGAACATAATAATATTATAAATCTCAATTAATTTTAATAATTTATGAGTAAATGTAGAAATTAACATCAAATGTTGTATCTTTTAATATTATTTAATGGACCTGAGCTAACAATTAATAGTTGTATTACTAATGTTAAAGATGAATAAATACTGTAAAAATGTATTGATGCTTGTTAGTTAATGCATCTACCAATGTTAACTGATATGTAATAGAACCTTATTGTAAAGGTTTATTGTTTAACTTAAAAAAACAACAACACCAACCCTACAGAGCAGCTGAGTGTTTTGACTGTAAACACATACTGTTTCATTGTTACATTAAAGGGGTCATATTCTGCTCTTTTATAGCATTTTAAATCTGCTTATAATGTCAGCAAGGGTTTCTTGCACCAACACAGTAATAATTTGGTTTGAATTGATAATTTTTCACCCACTGACTGAATTTAACAGGCTGTTTTTTGGGTGTGACAGCTTTGTTTCAATAAATGTTCTGGATGAACTGGAAGCTTTGTGTAGTGAACATTACAGTTTTTCTACATAGTATGTTAAACTCTTATCTCAAAGCAGCAAGGGAAATCCAGATTTCCGTGATATGATCCCTGATGGTTGAGTGTCAAATCTACTCTGAGCCAGGACTCAGGAGTGAATACAGCTCCTCTGGCTCTTGCATTAAAGCTCCACCTCTAACAGGAACTAGGTCAATATTCCACCAATCACATGCTCCCATCTTTGCTTGTGTTGAATCATCATACCAGACATATGTTTCTAATCTAACAACCCACCAATTATAAAATCTCCAACTAATTTGCCACCACTTTGGAAACGTCATACCAATCACAGTCTGGAAGTGTGTGTGTTTCAGAGAGACATACATCCAAAGCGACAGACTGTTTGGCCCAGGACTTCTTCACTTGGTCATACATAATGGTGTTATTGATTCCCAGTCCACAGAATATCACAAATGCCTAAAGAGAGAGAAAGAGACTGAGAAAGTCCTGTAACACACTTTAACACATCATGTGCCTCAGCACTCAGTGACCCGCTCTGACTTTACATGATCTTCCGCTTCAGTTTCTGCTGTTCCCAAGTGCTTCCGATTTCCAATAAAACCACTTACAGTTGACCGTGGAATATCTAGCAGGGATGAAATTTCACAAACTGACTTATTGTAAAGGTGGCATCCTATTACAGTATCACTCTTGAATTCTTAGCACTTCAGAACGACCCATTTTTTCCACAAATGTTTGTAAATGCAAACTGCATGACTAGGTGCCCCAATGCTTTTGTCCATATAGTGTATAGAAAACAAAATACAGATGCTTTACTCATGCCGAGGATCAATTTAAGAAGTTATTTTACACATACACCTGTATATTGTACGGAAAATATACACTGAACAAAATTATAAATGCAACACTTTTGTTTTTGCCCCCATTTTTCATGAGCTGAACTCAAAGATCTAAGACTTTTTCTATGTACACAAAAGGCCTATTTCTCTCAAATATTGTTCACAAATCTGTCTAAATCTGTGTTAGTGAGCACTTCTCCTTTGCCGAGATAATCCATCCACCTCACAGGTGCTGATTAGACACAAAAGTGTTGCATTTATAATTTTGTTCAGTGTATATTATTGTAATATATAATATGTATTTTATGCATAAACATATTATTCTGTCATTATTATTGTCATGAATATGTTTAATATTATTAACAATTAGTTCATGTGTTAGCTTTGACTGTTAACACTGTTAATTCCGACTACCCTAACTGTGCTAAAATATTATAAATATTTTAATACTGTTAATATTATATTACTGTCAGACTCTGTTCCGTGTTTTGTGGTTGTTTTGCTCCTCATGTACCTTCCTTTCCCATGTTTAATTTGTCCCAGGTGTTTCCCATGATGTTTCATTGCTCCCAGGTGTGTCTCGTCATCCCCTCCTCCTGTGTGTATAAATAGTGTTCCCTGTGTGTGCTCCAGCGTCCGGTATTGTTTATGTCTACTCCTCGTGCTACGTGTGATTCCCCGTGAAGATTAATAAATTCCTTGGTTTTTGTACTCTTGGTCTCCTCGTTCCTTGCTCCATGTTCCTGCACCATAGCAGATCGTGACAGAATACCGGACCTAAGAGTAAGCGGCATCCCTTCCCCGTGTTTTCCGTGTTTTTGAAAGTCTTTTTAGTTTTTTCCCGTTCGTTTCTCCCCGCCCTAATGGAGGAACGAGCGATGTTCATCACAGTGGCTCAAGCGAGCCCAGACCCTATCGTCTTCGCGAGGGCGTTTGTGCCGCTCGCCCTGGCCAGCTCCCTCGAGGGGGAAACCCTCGCGACGCTGTTCCGGATCGGGATGACGTTCCATCATCCCACGGAGCTCCCAGACACGACCGACCTCGACTGGAAGGAGACAGTCATCCTGTGTCTGGAGAGTCTCCGATCCCGATCCGGAACCCCTCTGCCGGCAGTTCCGGAGTCAATTCAGCCGGCTGTTAATATGGCAAGCCCACTTAACATTAATGTGGCAAGCCCGCCGGACATTAATGTGGCAAGCCCGCCGGATGTCCATGCAGAGCTCGCTCCAGTGTCGGCTCCAGCCCCAGAGCTCGCTCCAGTGTCAGCTCCAGCCCCAGAGCTCACTCCAGTGTCGGCTCCAGCCCCAGAGCTCGCTCCAGTGTCAGCTCCTCTAAAGCGTTTTGCTGTGCCTGCTCCTCCAGAGCACCCTCCAATGCCAGCACCACTTAAGCGCTATCCTGATCCCGAGTTAAGCCCAGGAAGGGCTCCTGAACCCCAGTTAAGCCTAGGAAGGGCTCCTGATCCCCAGTTAAGCACAGGAAGGGCTCCTGATCCCCAGTTAAGCCCAGGAAGGGCTCCTGATCCCCAGTTAAGCCCAGGGAGGGAGGGCTCCCGAGTCCCCTGCTCCGCCATGGCGCCCCGAACGGGTGCTGCTCTGGAGGCCCACTGTCCCGTGGCTGTCTTGAGGGACCTCCAGAGTGCCCCTCCCCCCCTCCCCTTTGGATGTTATGGGGCGTGAGGACACTCCTTCCAGAGGAGGGCGTTCTGTCAGACTCTGTTCCGTGTTTTGTGGTTGTTTTGCTCCTCATGTGCCTTCCTTTCCCATGTTTAATTTGTCCCAGGTGTTTCCCATGATGTTTCATTGCTCCCAGGGGTGTCTCGTCATCCCCTCCTCCTGTGTGTATAAATAGTGTTCCCTGTGTGTGCTCCAGCGTCCGGTATTGTTTATGTGTACTCCTCGTGCTACGTGTGATTCCCCGTGAAGATTAATAAATTCCTTGGTTTTTGTACTCTTGGTCTCCTCGTTCCTTGCTCCGTGTTCCCGCACCATAGCAGATCGTGACAATTACGATATTATTCAATATATTGCAAGATAATATAATAGGTGAGATGGGTTCCACACCCAAACATCTGAGCCCACTTTCAAGGCCAAGGTTCAAGGTTCATTTTCCGGTCCACTTCAATATTATATTATTGTATTATAATAACAATTTTATTCTAAGAGGGGTCTGAGTTCATTTGGAGAATACACATCAGCCATAATTCTCCCAAACTGCTCTGAGACCCTTGCAATGAACTAATTGTGTGATTGTGTGTGTGTGTGTTTGGACCCCTTTGAAGTGAATAGTTTGGTCTGCAGTAAAGTTCGCTTACATCATGCTTGATGGTTGCAAAGCGCTCATAAAGAGATCTCATCGATGTCATACCTCAAACAGCCTCTGATCTGCATCATCAAATGGTTTTCCATCTAACCTGTTCAAGACCTGAGCCACACCTGCAACACACACGTGAAGACAGTGAGATTGCATGTTGTGTTTCATGACCCATATCAGGTCCTTTAAAGCACAGTAATGCACTGCAGTCATTGATGAGAGATTCAAGAGTTAAGAATCTCACCCCACCCCCAATCTTTCTCTCTTTCTACATGGCTAATTAAACAGTGTGCTGTTGTTTTAGTATGTAATTAGAATGATTGTTTCTTTAAGTGCAAACCCTCTCCCCCGTTCACACACTTAACACCTCCCCCCATCCTCACCATCTCATTACAGTCAATCAGAAATGTAGTGCTCGCTTTGGACATCACGTACACGCATACGGTTCTACCATAACACTGCTCATAATTATAACATTTTTATCACTTGAAGAAGCCTGTTCGCCTGAAAGCCCACTGATATGTGCCTGACTGAGAATAAAAAATAATTTCAAGTAATCCTAAACCACAAGTGGTGTTGTTCAGTTATCATCTCAGTATATAGTTACACAGCTCACTGCATCTGCATAGTATATACTAAACACCTCCTACTATTTTAAAAACAGTATGTGAAAGAGTAGCATTAGGCAATGATAAATGCTCTAAACAGTTGTATGCTACAGTGTTGTCACATGACCTCTTTATATGCTGCATGATACAGTGAGAGGTGCCTGGTTATCACCTCATATGATAAAAATGGTCATTTAGCATGAAGAATAATAATAAAGGAGGAAATGTTATTAGGTTGTAAAGCCATAAAGAAAAAAAATATTTATTTATTTATTTTAAATATAATGTATTCTATGTCAGTGTGAGCCAAATGTTGCTTGTTTTTTTTTTTCATAGAAACTTGTTCTATGGGGATGGGGTTGTAATACATATTATACAATAATATAATGTTCCTGTGGCTCAGTGGTACAGCATTGCATTAGCAGCGCAAAGGTCGTGGGTTCAATTCCCAGGGAACACACATACTGATAAAAAATGTATAGCCTGAATGCACTGTAAGTCGCTTTGGATAAAAGCATCTGCTAAATGCATTAATTTAATTTTGTATTTAATTTAAATGTATATAAAATAAATCTTATTACAATAAGTATTATATTATGTTTTATATGAATATATTATATTGTATTATATTAGGAGAAAATGCTATCAGATACAGTATATAAAGCCATTAAGAAAAAAAATTAATTAATTTTTAGAGAATGTTTGAGAATTCTATGTCAGTGGGAACCAAATGTTGTTTGTGTGTGTGTGTGTGTGTTTGGGCATTATGACAAGTATTACTAAGTGTGTGTGTGTGTGTGTGCGTATATATATACACTGAACAAAATTATAAACGCAACACTTTTGTTTTTGCCCCCATTTTTCATGAGCGGAACTCAAAGATCTAAGACTTTTTCTATGTAAACACTGTCTGATTTGTACATATAAATATCCTAGTTTGTCTAACTGCATCACTACATTGTACAGACATTACAGGTCAAAGCGGAAAGCCGCCGCTTTTCCAAGCTGCGTCTATCTCTCTCTCCTCTCCGACAGTGAGTTTGACACGCGTCCGCCTCCTGTCAATTACATAGTCTGAATGTCCGCGCGGGATTGCAGGTATTTCGCATAATTTTAATCATTCCCGCGCAAATGTGGCGAGCGCTTTATTGTAACATGAGAACACAGTCATGTAATCGCAGAAAACTGGATGCGAGCTCTCAAAAAGGCCTAACTTATACAAATGAACTGCCTGTCCTCTCACTCTGATATTGTTTGTGCGCAGAATGTGTGCAATCGCGATCTCTCCGTGCTTTTAAAGTAGAAATTA